AAATTTCTGAGGGTCAAACCATAGCACACCCAGTCGGTATGCCTTCAAATGTGACGCCGACGGTTGCCCTCAGCACATGGTTTTGGGGAAAATGATCAAAAAAACATTGGATTTGGGGGCAAAAGGGGTTCACGGGTTCACTATTATCTTGATGAAATTGACAGCTGGAGATCTTCAGCTAAATCCAGGCTAGGTCTTAAGTGGCGTAGTTGAAACGACAGTGTTGGAGCCGCCTTGAACTTCTACAAAAAGGAATCTTATGGCTAACAATAACTTCAGATGCTCAAATACAAGTTATCTCTTAGCAGGAAAGTAGGGTCCATGGTCCGATTTTGAAAGAGGAACCCAACTTTCATGATGTGGGTTTGTGAATTGGGGGACAGTACCCCACCTACACAATTGTTCATGTTTCTGGTTTCCTCCCAGTTGTAGTTTGTCGTCATTCTTGTTCAAATCGACAAGATTACATCAGTTTAATGATTGTAGCTGTTGTTGCAGATTTCAGCTTAATGATTCATCGAGTCAAAATTGCAGCCTTATGGTTCCCAAACGTTGCAGCCGTGTTGAGCCCATCAGCCCGTCAACTTGAGCCGAGCCACGCTCGGATTACTCGGAATGGGAAGGACAATCAACTCCTTGCGCTCGTTACAATCACCCCCCCTCTCAGGGAATTGATCTTGAGCGTACACAGTTGGCTTCTCGATGCAGACGTTCACCAGTTTGACCTTGCAATGATTGAAACATATTTGGCAACAAGGCTCAGGACATGGTGACCTGAAATGAAGTACCATGGGGTCCTCTTGATCATGACCATGCTCGGGGCTGTGACATAAAGACAATGGCGCAATCGGGGCTGGAAAGACTACTTTCATCTAAGCACGTCATGCTTTTATTTATATATATTATAATTATATATTCTCATAGGTTAAGGTCACTACGTTCAGATCCCCACCCTTGCAAATAATTCTGCCATGGTTTCTGACACATCATCTGGAATGATATACAGCATGTATATTCGGACATTTTATCTGGCATCATTTCAGGCATTCATTCTGGCATCTATTCTGACATTCTATCTGGCATTCTATCTGGCATTCTATCTGGCATCTATTCTGTGACATTCTTTCTGACATTCTTTCTGGCATTCTATATAGCATCAATTCTGACATTCTTTCTGACATTCTCTCTGGCGTTCTGTCTGACATATGTTCTGACATTCTATCTGGCAGTCTTTCTGGCGTTCTTTCGGGCATTCTATCTGAAATTTTCTGAAATGTGTTTGGGTGCAGGCGTGCCCCACAGCATCCGGAGCTGGCAATATAGTGTCCAGGTCCAGGAGCCCTCCACAGTTTCCGGAGCTGGCGACATGGTGTGTGGGTCCAGGCGTCACCCACTGCATCCGGAGCTGGCAGAGTGAGAGGAGGAGAAGAAGGAAGGAGCTGCACCTTTGTCAAAATCTAGAGACCCTCACCTGGCAGGTGGGGAAAAATAGTTACACTTACACACAGTTGAGTCGAGGTGCTCCTCCCTCATGCAAGCCTGGCACCCCCAGCAATGACGGGTCGGCATCTGCCAAGATGTCTGCAGGCTGCGTGCTGCTGGAGCACTGAAGTGTGATGCCCCGGGAGTTCGCCATGGCTGCCAGGAAAATGTCGAATCGAAAAATGGCAGCTGTCATGGAAGAAACTCAATTCGCAGCCGCTTTGTGGAGAAATCATCCCACTTTTTCATTAGTAAGTATAGCAACAACATATTACAGAGAATAACCACGCTGAGGGGACCTGTAGACCAGTAAATTCAAACGTCCTGTCACCCGTGCCATGCCCCTCCGCCACCAAGGTCCAAGCGCTCGGCAGAGAGCCGTTGCCGCTCTGCTTCAGGGTCAGACGTCGCGGCTTCGGTCGCAGGGCTACCGGTGGTCGTGGTGGTCGCTTCCTTGTGACGAACCAAACAAGACTGCTGCCATGACCACTCTGATCTTCTAATCCTCGAAACATTTGGTGAAACATCTGGTAAAAATCTAGGACCCCGGTTCTTGCACTGCATTCTTTGTCCTGCCTCTGTTTGTGGCTTGCTAGAGCTGCTAGAGTACTTGGCCACATTCAAACTTCGGGGAGCCTCAGTGTCTTTGCGGACCCAAAGTGCCAAGACTTTCTACCCACCCAAGGAGTGTGTTTATCCAGTCGTTTCTTGGAATGAGGTACTGAAAAGGTGGTCGAATACGACAAACCTCTGCTGCCGATGATGCTGAACATCTCGGAGCAGGATCTCATCCGAGAGTTCATGCTTTGGTAGTCCTGACCTTTGCATACAATACATTCACAGCCTAAATCAGCAAAAAGACCCTGAGAATGCCACCTGTGGTGAGCTTGGCAGGAAGGCCTTGCGTCGTCAAGGCTTTTGGGGTTCCACTGTGTGTGTCTCGAGCCGTGGGATCGGCCATGAAGACGATGAGAAACCAGGGGATGGTATGAGGTCCCAAATTTTGAGACAACCCCGCAACGGAAACAATGGGAGGTCAAAGAACAAAGACAAATCTGACGGGGATATAATCAGCCATGTACAAGGATGCACCGGAGAAACATACGACTGTAAGTGCAGTAACCTTAAGAACAAAAGATCCTGCCCGTACTTAAAAACCAGAGAATGTTCAACTGCTGAACAACACGGTTCACTGAATCGAGAATCTGGCAAAGCCATGCAAAACCCATATCAAAGCTCGTCAAAGAGTCTTTGGGTACTCCTAGTCCCTACTACCGCAAACTCTGTCAACGGTCCCGTCGTCGAGTCTTTGATCCCAAATGCCAACCTGTATGTTGTGGGAAGACAGCATGCTGCAGCAGCAGCAGCAGCAGCAGGAGCAGGAGCAGGAGGAAGAAGAAGAAGAAGAATCACAAGCACAAAACTTTCCAGCAGAAAAAATAACAATCACCTAAATGAAGAAAATATCAGACGTTGTTTTTTGGCGGCACAAAAAACAAATGACTTTGTAGCACCTGTTTTGATTTGAGCAGAGCGAAGACAATGGATTTTGAAGGCAGTGCATTTTTGTTTTACCTTTTTTGATATTTGATGTGTTTGCCACCTCGCATCTTTTCGCTGAATAGACCCAGGGTTCAGGCCGGCGCTCAAGCGGATTGTGCCGCGCACGCAATTGCGTGCTCGGGGTGAAAAAGACTGCTATTGTATGTATACTCTGAGCAAACGTTTACATGTTGAGAGACCAGGCATCCGCGCCAAACATCTCGCACAGCCGATCAGGACCAGGAGCACAGCTGGACGTAGCTTTGAAGTCCACCTGGAGAAAGGCTCCACAAGAAGGGTGGTGCTGACTGGTACTGGGGATCTGCCAGCCATACCCGAGGTTGTCTGAGAGTGGTTGAACACCATATTTGCACCATTAACATTGCAATTTGGGGGTCTACCGGACCTATTCCTGGGTGTAACGGTGTAACTTACAAGCACTACGGGATGTGGCCAAAAATGTGCCGGTGTGCCCCGAATTACAGCCACCAATTTCATTCCCCGCTTCCGAAATGGAACATGAACTGCCACATTTTTTGGGGTCACCCATGTTGGAAAACCATCTCATCGGCAGCCCATCATTTTGAACACGGCATTTTGTCCAGGCAGCGGGCTCTACCACACCTCCTCGACCGGTGCCTGAGCACACCAGGGCGGCCTGCCAGAGGAACAACGGATCTTGGTCGATGTTGTTCATGTTTTGGGGTGAAAATGTGCGAAATTAAACATATTTAGCGCTGATCCATTGCCATAGTCAATGGGTTCTTGGTGGGCCCCAAAGCAACTCGTTTTTGTATGCTGGTGATTCACGGCGCAGACCCGAACCTAGATGCTGATGGGACCCCATGGCCACAGCTCTCAAGGACTATAGCAAAATGTCGTGTGCTTCGACTGGAGATTGCAAGTCATAGCCAAACCTCCTACTGTCATAGCCATTTGATGCAAACGAAATATAGTATGTAATCGGATGAAATTCATGAATTTCTTCAAGCAGTTCTTGTTTCTCATGTGTGCTTCGTTGAGTACGAGCCGGCTGCTTTACTGGAATATTTCTGGCGGTGTGATGGCCACTGGGGAAAACTACGATGCCCGAAATTGTGATTTATCATCATCTTCCCTATCAACAAAGCCATTATTTTGAGCTATTACTCTTGAGACAAGCCCAACTGTCAGCTGAAGTGCCGCCCACTTTTTTCTGAATCCACCTCGCGATGGTGTCTCGCACAGGCCGTCAGGACTTTGTGTGATCATTGAAGCGTTTCCATGACAAACCAACAAGATGTGTTCACATGATTTCGGACTAACCAGGATATGCCACATGATTAGGATGTGACACATGTGACACCCACAGGTTCAACCTATACAAGGATGCTGTTTTCACCTAATCACTGGGCTGTGATGGCCACATGTTGACAGCTGCTGTTGTCGAGTCTGCGGAATCTAACGTTCCTCGTCGGAGAATCAGCACCAGGAAGCCTGCATCGTCTCATGTGTTGCATCACCAGACTGTGGCCGTATTTCAACCATCAGCCACTCAGAATCCCTGCTAAAACTGCTGATAGTTCAGAAAATATGTATCACATGCATCAAAAAAAAACACTAGATAACAAAACATCGCATCTTTCATCACCCTCCATCCCAGGATTTCATCGGTGTCAGCTCCGGCCTAGACCTTCTTGAGGCCCTTTCTGACCTTCTTGGCGCGCTTCTTGAACTTCGCATAGGGGTCCGATGAAACCCGCACCTCACGGTTTCACACTCAGCTTCAGCCCCACTCATCGCTACCAAAAATGGTCGGAATCATCTTCCCATTCGTTGGGATGGCAAGTCAACATCGAAACCAGCCAGGGCAAAAACAAGATGAGGCAACGACTCTGGCAGGACGTGGATCACCAAATGGAAAGCCAAAGTCCTTCATCAGCTTCAAGGCATCCGGCCTCTTCAGAAACTGGTATCCGCCCACCAAATCCCTGTACTAGCGAGGTGGTGGCTTGCAATAGTCTCTGATCTTCAAATGGATGCGGCTCAAAATTGTAAAGAGTATCATCTTAAATAACCCACAATATCCCACAATTTATATTCATTGGCCATTTGTAGTATAATTGTCGTCTTCTCAACCATCCAATGTCAGGGGACTGTGTGAAGCAGTTGTTGAGGATGCCAATCTGGAAGCCATGGACAATCTCCTGCAGCGGCAAAATGCCAAGCCCAAGACGTCTGCTTCAAGGTATGTGGTCCACTACCAGAAAGAAAAAGGCTGATTATAAATCATCCTCTCTTATCCAGCTATAAACCCAGCCATAGAAAGACATGTGTACGTGTCTGTGTGTGTCTGTGTTTGTATGTATACGTACATATATGTATATATATATATCGATAATTATATATATATATTTTTAATTCTATATATATATATATATACACAATTATGTATATATATATACATATATATATATATACATGTATACATATATACATATGTATATATATATATGAAACACATGTGGGCTATCGCCCCCCCCTTTCATGACGTCCAACCTTGTTGGGATCATGACCTACTACCACCGCTACCCCCCGTCAGCAGCTCCCGCGAATCCACCAACTCATCGAGCTCTTTGAAAGCTTCCTGACGTTCAACAGTTTTGGTGGTTCACCAACGATTGGAGATTGATAATGATTTATATATATATAATAATCGTTTATACAATCGAACAAAGGGAGGATGGGCCAGGTCAAGTCGCTGGCCCAAGGACCCACAGGGTGGGCAGTTTCAGGATCTTGAACCATCCATGTAAATTCCATCGGGATTCTACTTCCTCGTTGGTGCCGGTCCTGAGTGGGCACGCTGAACCAGTAGTTTCCGTTGTTGTCAAAGGAATTTGGAAACAAACCTGTGGCCAGATGTGGCCAGATGTGGCCAGATGAGGCCAGGTGGCGTCGGTGACAAAATGTGACAAAGGAGTACAGAGAATGAAATTTGGCCAGCCCTGGCCACACGTGTTAACAAGCACTGCCATGCATCTGCACATGTCACCAGCCTTCAAAGTCTCGCACACGAGGAAGAATGATGGTGTTAAGCCTTGCCAGAAAGTCATGCCTTAGGCGCTCAGGATATGCCAAAAGGCTCCCACCCCACCCATCCACCCATCAGTGATACGGATCATTGCCAAGGCCACAGCATCAGCTGGCCTTCCAAGCTCACTTTTGCACCACAGGCATCACCCTGACACATGGCATGGGCTTCTTCATCAGCCCCATCAGCGTTTTCTTCCATGGCTCCACATATATGGGTATGGGTCAAAATTAGGTACCCCAACAATTATGGATGGTTAATACTAAACTAGACATTCACATCTGTGGTCCCCTAGGTCTTCCATTTTGACCCATCCCCATATATAAATTCACCCGTTTTTCTGCTGTTCCCAACAAAAATCCCCAGCATTTTATGGATCCATGGCAGCCATCCCAGACCTTTCGCAATCCGGTCTTTGCATTGTTCACCTTCGCCTTGACCACCTAAAAACGCCGATCCAGCAAGGTCCATGGTATGATTCAACCATGAATCAAAATGGCCCATCTGTCGGCTGAGAAGCTCTGAAATTTGAAAAAACCATCGAGAACCATTCAAAAAAAAACATGCAATTTGAGAATGAATGGTTAACTTCATCAACAACCATCCAAACGTTCATGTCAAAATCAGCGACCTTTAAATCGCCAGCTTTTTGTCAGCTCCTGGGTTGCTCGGACCACGGGGTGCTTGCCGCTGATGCGCCGAAGCTCCTCAATCACCTGAAAGTTACCATTTGGGTCCCTTCTTTCAATGGCAAATCACCCATTTGTATAGACAATTATGTCAGGGTGACCCCATGGGTACCCCATCTACATGTGCAAAATGGTAAAATTCACCCGAATGTCCCCACTGGGGCGCCATATTTATTTCAATACTATGTTCCCATTAGGCTCATTAGGCGAAACTCCCCTGGATTAGATTCCCAGGGAGTATGTGAGTTATGCAGGTTCCACTGCAATGAGAAGCCCTCATTTTTCAGGCGGATATACATCATAGAAAGTCAACGAACGGTTATCCATTTCATGGTGAGCTGGCCATTGCCATGTTGGTCAAACAGGAGAGTAGATGTATCATGATTTATCTAATTCTGCTCACCGCTCGCCCCACTCAATGCAGGAATCTATCAAGAACTCGTCAGCACACTCACTCAATCGGAATCGGCCTGGTTCATGATTTTGGTGTTGGAAGCTTGCTTCGGCATCAATGTTGTGGACATGGAAACCTGACCCAAAATCCCACAACACATCAAATTGATTCGCGAGTCACGGCAGAGCCGCAGCCCGAACTAAGTAGAACAGTTTCAACCCCCGACTGTGCAAAGCATCAAATTTCAATCAAGGTTAGGTATTTCCCAATAACATTTTTTCTTTGGGAGGAATGAGATCGGATCAAGCCTTGGTAAAGCG